TGATAAAATTGTATTAAAAAGCTATGAAAACAGAAAGTGCAAATATGACAAATTATACTCAGAAAAGATTATGATACAATCTATTCTGACCTCAAAATCATATTTACTTTCCACTTTTTTGCTGTGCTTTCTTTTCTCTTTTGATTTGACCATATTTCTGATATTACAGTGTTGACAGAAATCTTTAAGGCCAAATCACTAGTCTAGTAACTGATCAGTCATCATCAAGTGGTTTGTATGGTGGTTCACGTAACCACGAGTTGGTTAAAGTTTTCTGGAATAGAATCTGGAATGAATAATGGCGGACCCCATATAATATGGTAACCGGATAGGAAACCGTGGTTCACAACATGATTAGGAATTAGGTTTCTGTGGGGTCTATAACTCTAACCGCCTTATGCTACAAATCGAAAAATATATCGTTTACAGTTTACGTTATAAAAATCACACATTTCATTTTATTTGCTAATAATATCTTAAATCAGTTTTAATCAATATTAATAAATAAATTCATAGGCCATAACTTGAACCAGTGGTTCACATTCTAAGTTCTAACCAATAAATTCTTCTCTTTGCCTCTTTGAAAACTATTTATTTCTCCCTCTCCTCTATGTGTAAAAACTCAACTATCACTTGTTCTATTCATAATACCATAGATTATTATCTAGTGATTCATGTAACCTGCACTCTAGCCTTTATACAGTTTGATAGTTTAAATTGTATCCATATTGGACCATATAAATTTATTACAATATGATGTATCCAAACAATGTTAGTATTACAACATGCAAATACAGAGTAAAATTGTCACCCAAAACACTAAAATCCAGGATTAGTAAATGCCTTAATAAAATCATTTAAAAGTATGATTGTTTATATGACATTACAGAATTCTCCAATAAAAATCGGTAGACCAGTCTACCATCATCCAAGAAAATACTTTTCATGTTTATGCATTCCTTACACACACATGTGCTAATTAGCACGAATACCATATTCCAGTGTATAAAACAATGTTTCCTAAAATTTTTTGATCACAAACAACACTTATTAGCTGATTATATTGCAATGCATGCAAGAGGTTTTGCACTTTGTGCTTGGTCTGGTATATAGTCTGTTATGTTTAACAGAGCATATTTTGCGATTACAGGAACTTAATCTGATGATCTATTTATTGGGAAAATTCATAAATAAACAGTTGCTTTATGAAGGATAATTCATTTACGAGATACATATCACTAGTCCTATATGAATAAAGAAGATATTCTCAACATATCCAAATAGCAGGGATTGTCAAAATCCACATATCAATGTTCGGATTGAAAGTATATTCGGTCGGTGGGAATTTTAAAATATAATAAATAGAAAGCCATGAATAATCGACTCTAAACAGTGAGAATTTAATTGCTTGTAATGACAATTGTTTACCGGTAAATATCCATAATTATTCCTAAACTCCTGAATCTAAAATATGAAAGAAAATTACTTTCAAATCAATTTAGATATTCGATTATTTTTGGGCTTTATTGGCAAAAACTTTAACATTCTAATTCTCTGCGAAATTAAATATTATATTAAAATATTATATTGACCATGGAGACAACTATAAATAATACATTGTTTACTATCAGTACAAATACCTACATATATCTAACCCTATTAACCTACGTCTCTCAATAGCTATAAAACCCAAAATAACATTCTCAAGCCAATTCCAAAACAACCCATCGTGCAAAACCCTTCAACACATGGTCTATTGACGTCACTTCGACAGAGTAATCATGGGCGTTAACCAGGCATTCAAAAAACTGAACAATAGCGCCAACCAGTGAGAGGAAATAAGTATACAACAAGATATTGGAGGTTGCAATAAAGAGAGAGTTTAATATTTTTATTAACCAAAATATAAATAAATAATGATATACCGGTAATAATGAAATACACAGCACTTATTTTGGTATAGACTGAGAGATGGCGATGCGACCAAAAGTCATTGAAGTCAGCCACCACCCATTCCAGCCAATTAAATCATTGAAAAAAAATTAAAAATATTCGTCGACTTGTTACTTACCAAATATATCTAAACGAAAGCAAGAGTTACAAAAAAACAGAATTAGTTTGGAAAAAGAATGAAGCATAAAATATAGTAAGCTCCCAGTGGCTAGGGGACAACTATATCATGGGTAATTACATGTTTTTATCATTATCACTACCTGATAGTAATCCCTAACAATAAATTTTAGATAATTTTACAAATTTCATGTAGGAAGCCAATCTAATATATTCAAGAATTCAATTCCAAATTTTTGCAGCAGTGAACTTAATTGATTTTTGGGAGAATTTAGTTGCGGCTATTGGGATAAAATATGAATTATTTGATTAGGATCGCGTTTGAAACGATATTGGCTACTTTATAATCGGTGAAATGGGACGCAAGCGATTCAGGCAAACTGCTAGAGGAAAATTTATGCATAATTTGGCCCGTTTCATGGTTAAATGAGTCATTCAGTTTCAAAATATTCAATTTTTTTATTAAGTGGACTAAATCTAGTTCGCAACAAAACATTTAAGATAGTCCTAACAGCCAGGTTTGATGTTGAGCCCCATCAGCTATTGGTTTGAACATTTGACTGATTTATCTTGGTACTACTTACTTTTGGTGTGTTTACATATGGTTCACTGCATCGCGATTATTGGCTAATTACTTGATTACTTCTTGTTATGGTTAACTGTCTAGAGCTTTAGTCTGTCTTTAGATCTGTTCTCATAAGCTTGTTAATGGTTCTATAGTCATTGGGTATGAATAATCTATTTCTTAAGTTTCTTACATTGGGATAACCTGTTCTGACAAAGCCTCATTTAAATGTAACTGAATTGGTATATTCTTGCTTTGTATTGTGCCTGGTTGCCTGTACTGATTTTAATATTCATCTTTATTGTTTGTCAGGTCACTTTGTCTTACTGGTATCTGGATTAAATCACTTTGGGAGAAATCTATTCGTTTCATTTCGGAATATTAGTTAAAGAGACATAGTAGGCAAGGGTGATTTGTCAATGGGCAGAAAACTAAACTAGTGACATTTAATGATACTGCACCTACACCTAGAAACTGGAGTCTGAATCAAGCAGTTCTTCTTCAACCTTTCGAGGATTCAGCAATACATCAAAGCAAGAATTCCAACTAACAATGGCAGAATATTTTCAAGGTCAGATTTTCAAACAACTCAAGAGTAAGTTTCCGGTACTCAAAGTAAATTTGGAAAGAATTTTAACACGATTTGAGCACTCTCTGGAAAGAAGAGATTGTGAAAAGATCAAAATACTGTTTCATGATGCTAACGATAAAATAGCATTTTTGGTCTGTCTAATTGATACTATGGAATTGGCTCTAATTGAAGAAGACAGTACTACACAAAGTGAGGAAAAACCCGTTATATCCAAATTTAGTGAAGAAATTTTACGTGTGGAAAACAAGATTGCCATCGATTTTGAGAAATATGAAGACAAACTAGATATAAAGCCGGTGATATCATCTCTTGTAACCACTCAAAACAATTATAATAATGATCCTCCTATGATTAAGTTATGTGGTATGGATCAGCCATGCTGGAACGGACAAAAAGTAGACTTTTATACCTGGAAAGAACGTTTTACACATATAATGCACCATGCTAGAATTACGGATGATTTAGTGCAAATTTCATGGCTTTTACGCAATGGTGCAATGCCAAACGATTATCAAACAATGATATGTGACTGTAAATCAATTTCAAGTGCATGGGAACGCCTAGAAGAGCGTATTCTTAAATCAGTAGTTCAACGTGAAGTAATCAAGCAATACGAGCAAATAAAACCTTTATATAAGACCTCTCGTAATCCAGCGAACCTTAGGCGACTAGCTCACGAAATTTCTCTCTTCTGCCGACGTATGGAAGATCTTGGGTTAAAACAGGATGCAAACTCGGTTATTTCTGTCAATAGAGCATTAGAGTGCCTAGATGCAGACACTGGACTGCGATATAATAGTTCCAGCAAAGGTAATCATAACTTGGAATCTATAACGAATTTTCTGAGATCTGAAGCTACAGCGTTGGAAATATCTGGTAACTTTATCAGTCAAACCGAGAATATGAGGTTTTGACCGAGACAAAACCAGTCGCCAAGATCTAATTTCAATACGGTTAATCATGCTACAGACGAGAATGATAACATCGGTTCAGTTCAGCCACGTCAAAGGACAGTCACTTGTATTTTTGGATGTGGAATTCAGCACCGCTTTATAGACTGCAACAAATATCAAAACCTATCAATTCCTGAAAGAAAAAACTTTATAGCAGATGATCGAAGATGTTTTATATGTCTAGGAACTCACTTTGCAAGAAATTGTGTAAGAACAACAGCCGATAGCTGTGTAAATTGTAACCAAAGACAGCATCATTGGTCATTATGTCCCGGAAAAGTACAGGGAAATACAATACAATGAGAAATTCTGGTATGAACGACTCGAATTTGAAAAGTCAACATATTCACTCCAATGCAGCAGTATTCAACCAATCTCAGATGCATTCAAGACAATTGAGCGCTTTTAATTTGGATTATTCTCCATTACTTATTGCAGAAGTGCAGGCGAGTGACAAAACATGGATCAAGGCAAATTTCTTTCTTGATGGTGGCAGTAACCATTCTTTGGTAAGACGTAATTTTGTAAAATCATTGAAACAAAAGGCAATAGGTCATGGAGCAATTCGGTTTGGTGTCGCAGGAGGAGCCATTCATGAAGAACCTTCTGAAGATTATAATTTAAAAATTAGACCTCTTTCACGAGACCAGATATTTGATATCAGAGTTACGGCTGTGAGAAAACCTTGTCACGATGTTACACCAATTCCGCCATCTATTTTTAAACAGTTTGAATAAGAGGAATTCAGGATAAAATACCATTTGGGCAAAAAACAGTCTATGTTCTTGTTGGTAGAGATTATGCACCTTTAATTCAAACAATGCATTCATTACGTTCGCCAATTGATCCCGATAATCATCCTTCAGCAGCTTTCACATCTCTTGGATGCTATCTATATGGAGGCATTATTCAAGCACCCCAACGATTTTTCAATCATGTACCAAATATTAATAGTTTTTCATCATTAGAAAATGAAGAGTTGCGCAAGTTTTTCCATGGTGAAGTTCTTGGAGTGCAACCCACAACTTTGTGTGTTTGTTCTAACTCAGAAATTGCAGAATCAGCATTTATCAAACATGTAAAAGCGACAACCAATATTAGTGCTGATGGCCGAGTTTGTGTCAAAATGCCATGGAAACCTGGTTTCCTAGAAAAATTGCACAACAATTTTGAGAAGGCGTATGAACAAATGAAAAAACGGGAACAAGAATTGTATAGAAAAGGAAAAACGGAAGAGTATAATATGGAGATTAAAAATCTGCTTCGGCGAGGCGTAGTACGACGACTAACACCGGTTGAAACGAAAACGGCTAAAGTTGAAAATGCATGGTACCTCAATCATCGTATCGTGGAACGTCCGGATAAAACCTCAACAAAATTAAGAATAGTATTTGATTCTGCGTGTCCTTTTAAGGGTACATGTCTCAATGATGGTTTAGAGAAAGGCCCCAGCTTTGCGAATTCTTTGTTCAGATGTTTCATGGCATGGCGAGCTGATAGTGTGGCTATTGCTGGTGATATATCGAAAATGTTTAATCAAATTCAAATGGCAGAAGTCGATCAGAAATTTCATCGTTTCCTTTGGCGCTATGGTGATTCATCGTTGCAACCAACAATCTTTCAATGGCTTCGGGTTATGTTCGGAGATAAATCTAGTCCTGACTTGGCATGCTTTACAATTAAATTTTTAGCCGATAAATTTCGAAAAGATCATCCTCTTGGAGCTGTTGTATTGGACAAAGATACATACATTGATGATGTCAGTCATTCTGTTTCGAATCACATTCTTGCAAACAAGGTTATCAATGATGTTGATCAAATACTTATTCGTGGAAAATTCTCTATAAAGATTTGGAACTCAAACCATCCTGAAGTAGATCAAAATCCTGGTGAAAAAGTTGTTGATGTACTTGGTCATTCCTGGAATAAAACTGATGACAGTTTCAGTTCAAAATTCAAAGACATTTCTTTCATGCAAACAGGATTTTCTAAAAGAAAAGCATTAGCATGTGTAATGAAATTGTGGGACCCTCTGGGTTATTTCTTTCCAGTGACAATGCAGTATAGAATAGATCTTCAAAAGATCTGGGCAGATGGATTTAGCTGGGACCAAACTTTGCCAGATGATGTGGTCAAATGCTGGTATAACAATGTTCAAGAAATGTCCAAGTTAGCTCAAGTTTCAACTCCAAGATGTCTGAAACCTGAAAACACAACTGGACCTCCTCAACTGCACGCATTTTCAGACGGTGGAGATTTAGCCTATGGCACTTGTGTGTTCTTACGGTGGCCTACAACAGGTGGAGTTAAGCTAACATTCGTTGCAGCAAAGGGATTTGTGGCGCCACTCAAACACAAAAGTACTCCAAGAAAGGAGCTAATGGGAGCAATAGGCATGAGCAGATTGGTGCATGAAATAAGTAGAGCACTACCGTACAATATTGCATTCAAATATTTCTGGATAGACAGCAAAGTTGTTATTTATTGGTTGAACTCCCAATCTGGAAAATTCAAACCATTCGTTGCTTCAAGAGTACAAGAATTTCAAGATACACATAAGAATCTAACAAAAGAAGTCAAATTCATTCCAAGTCTTCTTAATGCTGCAGATTGTTTAACAAAACCTATTTCCTGCGAGAAGCTTACAATTTGGCATGAAGGACCTGAATTTCTAAGGCAACCAATGGAATATTGGCCGAATGATGATGACTTAAAATTAGATGAATTACGTCAAGAAATGTTGGAAGAAAAACCACCAACTAAGTCAAAAGCATATCGCGGAAAAAGACAATTCAACGTCGTTAAAGCAGATTTGCCTTATCAAAATGATAATGATTTAGCGGATAATTTTTCTTCATGGCAAGACTTGCTAAGAGCGACAGCTTGGATGAAGGGTGCATTTCAGCAAAAATCATTTGTCAATTTGGAATTTAAACCTGCCGATGTCATACAATACATAGAAAAAGCAAAATTGTGTATATTCAGAATTTGTCAAAAATCTATGATTGATGAATTTGGAAAGGCTGTCAAAACTCTATGGAAATTAGACTTGTTATTCGATTCTCACGGAATTCTTCGTATTGGTGGAAGACTGAATAGAACTGATTTATATATGGAAATGAAGCATCCAGTTGTACTTCCGGGCAAACATTCCCTCGTTCGTCTTCTTGGAGTGTTCTATCATAAAAAGTTCTTACATCAAGGGTATCGAGTTATATGGGCAAATATGAAGAATGACGGTATTGTTCTTATTGGTGGAAGAATACTCCTAAAATCAACAGCATCAATGTGTATATTTTGCAGAATTCGTCGTAGAAAGTTGCTACAGCAACGCATGGGAGAACTTCCTTCATTTCGAATGCAACCACAGATGGCACCATTCAATTCTGTAGCAATGGATTTTTTCGGATACTTGAAAGTAAAGCAATCTCGAAATGTAGTTATCAACGCGTCTGTTTTAATTATTACATGTGCAACCACTCGTTGTATTCATCTGGAACTGTGTCTGGCTCTGGATACTAATTCGTTCCTTCGGGCATGGAGACGATTTGTATCTATAAGGGGAATTCATCCTGCATTTGTATTTTCCGACGGAGGTACTACATTTCAAGCTAGTCAAGCGCCTATCAAGGAATGGATCGAGAAATGGAATTTTCAGTTGATTCAACATGAGATGGCAGAGAATCAAACGAAATTTGATTGGAAATATAATGTGCCTTACGCGTCACATATGAATGGAGTAGTAGAATCGCTTATCAACTCGGTTCGCAAAGCACTCGATGCATCAGTGGTGAATTACAGCAGGGCTCTTATGACCTACGAAGAATGGACAACTGTTCTCAACGAAATTACTTATATCATCAATAGTCGACCACTTTTCCCAGATGGAAACCCTTTGGAATATAATTGTATTACTGGCAATACTCTTTTACATCCATATGCAAAGCAGGTAGTCCCTCAAACTACACAAGAAGAGAGATTCAATCCACGAGACATGCTAAAAGTGGCGGAAAACAGAGTTGAGGTGTTCTGGAAAACATGGATGAAACACATACCGCCTCAGCTATTACTTGCTAACAAATGGTTTCGAACAAGACGCAATCTTCAAGTTGGAGATTACGTATTAATTCTTCAACCTGGATTTAAAGGCGGAAGTGCACCCAGAGGTTTATGGAAAAAAGCACTGGTTCACAACATTATGCCCAGTTCAGATGGCTTGGTGAGAAGTGTTACAATCAAAGACAGCGATGGGAATTTATACAATCGACCAATACATAAACTTTGTCTAATTGCGACCAAAGAAGAGCTACAGTGTGGGTTGAAAGACATCTAATCTCATATCAGTTACTCCGAGTCAACAATGTTCAATATTATCGTCTTTTTCATTGCATTCATAGACTGGGGGGGAGTGGTTTGAACATTTGACTGATTTATCTTGGTACTACTTACTTTTGGTGTGTTTACGTATGGTTCACTGCATCGCGATTATTGGCTGATTACTTGATTACTTCTTGTTATGGTTAACTGTCTAGAGCTTTAGTCTGTCTTTAGATCTGTTCTCATAAGCTTGTTAATGGTGCTATAGTCATTGGGTATGAATAATCTATTTCTTAAGTTTCTTACATTGGGATAACCTGTTCTGACAAAGCCTCATTTAAATGTAACTGAATTGGTATATTCTTGCTTTGTATTGTGCCTGGTTGCCTGTACTGATTTTAATATTCATCTTTATTGTTTGTCAGGTCACTTTGTCTTACTGGTATCTGGATTAAATCGCTTTGGGAGAAATCTATTCGTTTCATTTCGGGATATTAGTTAAAGAGACATAGTAGGCAAGGGTGATTTGTCAATGGGCAGAAATCCAAACTAGCTATATTGGTGATGACATACACGCCATATTATGATTACCGAGCTTCATTGTACATTAAAAGGATTTTTTGCGAGCTACAATTTCTCCCAAAAAAATGATGCAAACCAAAAGCCAGGCGTTGAATGTTATAACATTATTAGCAATAAATTTTGATCAAATATTATTTGCGCATAGAGTAATCTGAATACTTGTATGACACACCTTCTCCAAAAATACAAAGTTATATTACAAGACAAGGCACTTAATCACACTTTGCTTGCCCTCCCATAATATTACGTATTTCTGGAAATGGAATTCAAGTTGGCTAATCATTCTATCGTCTAAAATCTACAAATGCTTGGGTTTGAGTGTCTGTGATATTTTAGTGGACAATGAATCAAAAAAAAAAATGCTGTATTTGGTAAAGAAATGTCCGACCTACCGTAACTATTAAACAAGCACACATTGAGTGGGACCAAGTCTGGGTAAAATATACAAACGAAAAACAGTTCAAGCATGTTTGGTATCAAATAAAATTCAATGCTTGGAACATTTCCAAATAAATTGAAAGACAGTAATACATTTACAATTTTTCTCAATTTTAATCCAGCAGTGTGGTGGGAGAATTCTCACATTTGAAAAACAATAAATATAGAATAGGATTCGGTTCGAATATTATAGAATAGTGAATTATTCTATATTGCCCATCCCTATTCAGACCATGGTCAATAAAAAAATACTAAGATACTATCAGAAGTACACACTGATAAGCAAGTTTCATTTAGAAAAATTCAAACACCCCAATGTTTTTATTGATAATAATATACCCCAATAAATAAAATGGTACAGTAAATTACGGTACCCCTGCCGTCACTTTAACACCTGGCAGAAAATCAAATACACATATATAACTCAGAATGTGAAATTAATACCGGTACATAATACACCCAATTTATGTTGTGTCCTCAAGCAGTACCGTAACTCGAACTTTAAATCGTAATAATTTGACTGAATTATTTAGAAATATTATATTGACCACTGAGAAAAATATACATTGTATCAACAATACAAATATTTGTGTATAATTAACCATGATAACCTACAAGTCTCTCATTAGTTAAAAACCAAAAATAATATTCTTAGGCCAATACAAAAACTTCGGTACTTTTTTTTTGTCGAATTGAATTCCAGTGCCAATATGGAATTGTTTGATTACATTTTCTGTTTTTATCCAAATACATCGAGCGTCATGTCAATTTTTGGTTTATATCAGAGAACAATTGCAGTATTGAATTCCGATTATTATCATAAAATTCAAAATAATTTAATATGATTCACATGATTTATTTTATCCAAGTAGATGTGATATACTCCATTGATAATATAGTGTTCATTATAGATCCATTTGAATTGATCATCGTCCACATTCCGGAATATCATTCCAATATAGATACAAGCATTACAAAAACAAGTGAATTAGGGGTGATAAGAAAGACCCTGTATGCAGATGGGTTAAGATACTGTTATTGTGTAGTTTGGTGTCTCGTTTATCTCGCTTCACCGTACTAAAAAAACTAGTCAACCGGCCACGACTGCCAAACAATATTTGTCTAAAAACAACTCTTTCTGATTATTCTGGAAGTCTAAATGTGAATTGTAGACTTTGGCATGGGTGGGAAATAATTGGACAACTCTGTATCTGATCAAACATGGCCGCTTGAGTTAGAGCGAGAAGTGATTCGCAATTCATGCTTGGTCTGGTATGTAGTCTGATACGCATACTTCATGCTTCATTTGGTATGAAGGCTGGCTGGGTATCAAATTACACAGTGCATAAGTTGACCTTCCTTGAGTTTAATCACATCTGGGTATAAATTGCCCAAAATGTTTATTCCCTGCTTGTCTTGTGCTGCTAAGGTAATGAGGATCTATTCCTGGGGAAATTTCATAAATAAACAGTTGCTTCATAAAGGATAATTCATTTACAAGATACACTTATCATATCAAAATAGCAGGTATTGTTATAATCCACAGATCCATATTAGTAGGGATGTTCTGTAGGAGTATATTTAGTCGGTGAGAATTTTAAAATATAATGAATGGAAAACCAAAAATTATTGACTCTAAACAGTGAGCATTCAATTGCTTTAAATTTTGAGCATGATTGGCAAAATAGTTTAGTATTTAAATTCTTTGAAAATAATTTTATTCCTGAATAAGCTGAATAGGATATTTTGCAGAAGATTTGAAATATTTTACTTAGAAAATTTTGACAAAGATCATGATTCTTCAGAAAAAACAAAACAAAAATGTTGTTGGTTTAATCATCCAAAATTGCTAGTTCCAATTTGACAGAATTAATAACCAAATTTGATTCAAATAAATTCTTGCCATGCTTATGCCAAGGTCACAGACATGAAAAGTCCATCGTCAAATATAAAAAATCTCATCAAAAGCTAAAGATACAACATATTAAGATATTCGCATTCGGACAAACCCAATCTTTGGTATTCCTGAAGTATGCGCACCAGGATGTCGCATAACTTGAACCCTAACTTGGTACAAAACCTGAGTGCAGGTTTTGCGCCATCTTGGTGTGCATACTTCCGGAGGTCCCAATCTTCACATTCATAATGAAATATTTCACAACATAAAAGCATGATAGCAACCAGGTGGTGAGTAGGATACAAAGATTCATTACATACAGCTAGTAGTATCTATATAAATGATAAAATTGTATTAAAAAGCTATGAAAACAGAAAGTGCAAATATGACAAATTATACTCAGAAAAGATTATGATACAATCTATTCTGACCTCAAAATCCTATTTACTTTCAACTTTTTTGCTGTGCTTTCTTTTCTCTTTTGATCTGACCATATTTCTGATATTACAGTGTTGACTGAAAGGTCAAATCACTAGTCAAGTAACTGATCAGTCATCATCAAGTGGTTTGTATGGTGGTTCACGTAACCACGAAGTCGGTTAAAGTTTTCTCCACCATCAAGTCCATAAATCTGGAATGAATAAAGGCGGACCCGATATGATATGGTAACCGGATAGGAAACCGTGGTTCACAACATGATTAGGAATTAGGTTTCTGTGGATCTATAACTCCAACCGCCTTATGCTACAAATCGAAAAATATATCATTTACAGATTACGTTATAAAAATCACACATTTCATTTTATTTGCTATTAATATCTTAAATCAGTTTTAATCAATATTAATAAATAAATTCATAGGCCATAACTTGAACCAGTGGTTCACATTCTAACCAATATATTCTTCTCTTTGCATCTTTTGAAACTATTTATTTCTCCCTCTCCTTTATGTTTAAAAACTTCACTATCACTTGTTGTTCTATTCATAATAGATTATTATCTAGTGATTCATGTAACCTGCACTCTAGCCTTTATACAGTTTGATAGTTTAAATTGTATCCATATTAATGTTTTACAATATTATGAATAACCAAACAATGTTAGTAATACAACATGCAAATACAGAGTAAAATTTCCACCCAAAACACTAAAATCCAGGATTGATAAATGCCTTAATAAAATCATTTAAAAGTATGATTGTTTATATGACATTACAGACTTCTCAAATAAAAATCGGTTGACCAATCTACCATCTTCCAAGAAAATACTTTTCATGTTTATGCATTCCTTACACACACATGTGCTAATTAGCACGAATACCGTAATCCACAATGTAGAAAACAATGTTCCCTAAAATTGTTTGATCACAAACAACACTTATTAGCTGATTATATTGCAAGTATGCAAATCTCAGTGTATGCCAGCATAATTTTAGATGCAACTTTGAATAACTAGTTTCTGTAGCAAGGAAAGTTATCATAGATACTATTAGATTATAAATACCGGTATATACTATTAAATCAATCTGGAAATGGGATATTTTAGTTTTTTTTTTTACTCATCCAGAGTATATACAGACTTGCTAAATGTTACTAACCTTCTCAAGTTGCATAACAATTTTAATGATTTATATAATCAGGTGACATTCTTTTTATTCTTGTTTTTAATAACCAGGCTTAAAAGTGAAAAAAATTCTTCAGCTGCAATGTTGATGGCATATGATTCAATTGTGCTGTTGATGGAGTAATGAGTAATGCAATAATTTATTGTCGGACATAAAGTCAAAAAAATAATTTCCTAACTTGAACCCTTTTTTTCATTACATAGTAACTTTCATTATTTTCATGTTTTCGATTCTTTTCACTATTTATAGTCTAAAAAATATGTATAGACATGTATACACATGAAACATGATATCCCCAACCTTTCATATATATTTTCATTATTTTCATGTTTTCGATTCTTTTCACTATTTATAGTCTAAAAAATATGTATAGACATGTATACACATGAAACATGATATCCCCAACCTTTCATATATATTTTAGAATACTTTTTTTTTCAATTTAATATTTACAATATTCAGAAAATAGATACTCA